ATAAAGACAAATAACAAGTGGGCAGCAGAAGACGATGAGATATTGCTATCCCTCATTACGTCTGGTAATTGGTCTTACATAGCAGAAACGATAAACACCATGCGAGCAACCGTCTCTGGCTTCAGACGCACACCATATGAGTGCTATGATCGCTGGAAATCAATTGATGACATAAGCAAATACATAATACAAGATAATGATGCATCGAGCTCTGAAAACGAAGAGATATCCTCAGTTTTCGGTACATCTGGTGCAGGTACATCAGCGGGCACATCCTCACCAAGTTTCACATCTGGCAGCAAAATAAGAAAAGAACTACATAGGAAAGATTCGAAAAATAAAATACCGAAATTTGATCCAGCAAAGAGCCGACGTCAGGCTAACCTGGCAGAAGCTATTAAAAAGTCAGCAAGGAAGAGAGAGGAGACCGTCAGGAGACCACGTAAGTAACAACATGGATTATGCTTTAGGCTAACGTTTTGTTCTTTGGTCTTTGTGAAGACTTACAAAATTATTGTTATTACAATGTAAGATATAGCACAATCTAAGAAAACTGCAGAGATCACAGCTTCCTCGACGAGAACACCGACACCTTTGGAATTAAGTCGACTTAAATTGGACCAAGATCGCGTACAACAGCAGGTTATACAAGAGCAGAGGCAGGCTGCTGCTCTAGCTATGCAAGGGCGGGTAAATACATAATATTTGGGAAAACCAAGCTTAATATAAACTCGTTCTAATACATATTTATTATTTGAATTTAGCAATCGTCGACCATACCTCGCCCTTCACTGCAAGGAGTTTCTCATATACCTGGACAACTTAGCCAATCGGTCACCCGCCCCGTAGCTGCTAACACAGTCACATCAGCTAATCAACATCAAATTCACGCTCTATTGATGCAACGACATGCACAGCAGGTACTGAGCCAGCGGGCCCCTCAACAGCAGTATTCACAAATGACCCCGGCAATAACTCAGGTTACTCAACAAATAATGGCAGTACAAAACCCCCAATTTCATCCATTTTTCAATCGCGTCCAAGCCCGTGCTACTCAACTATTACAAGGCGCTCAAGTGTCGGTCACGCAGCAGCAACAACAGCAACATGTTCATCAGCATGGACAACAACAGCCTGGCGGACTAACTTAGTGGACATTATTATTATTATAACTATAACTAATGGTACATAGTCAGCCTCGATAAGTCGGCCAAAGATATCTCCGATGGCCGACTTATCGAGTTGACCAACTTATTTGACGTTGTAAATCTTTCATTCTTGATAATGTAGACTATTTACATTTAGGTCATTTGATTACTGTACATAATTCAATAAATTCTGGATACTTTCTAATGCTGTTTTATTTTATTACCTTGACGTTTAAAATACAATTTATATTGATGTTGATATGAATGAGTTGTATACGTGGGGCGGCTGAAAAGTAGTGCAAAAATTATTTAGAACATTCATGTTACAGCATTGAAGTAAAATTTTTTATTCCTTCAAAGTAGTCACCATCCTCCTACCCCAACCCTCAAAGGATCTATGGTAGTCCTCTTTTGCTATACCGAAAGTAATTGACTAACGTGAGATTTTCATCCGTACTATACGTTTTATTTTCAAGTTCTTTCTTGATCTTAGGAAATAGAAAATCACAGGTGTCATATGGAGAGTATCAACTCTTTCTTTTTAAAATATGTGGCGCAGTATTATCATGATAAATCGTAGAACCTATTTTTTGTAAAAATTTCTCAGGCTGAGCTCTTGCAAAGAACATGATCGATTCATTTCCTCTGAAAACCCAACTAATTTTTTGTGTGGTTATCGCTCGAATCTGTAATTATAATTGTCATTTTTGTGACTGCTGTTCAACATCCCAATCCCTTTCGACAGTTATCATAGAAAAAGTTCCTCGATCTCTCTTGTTGACTGTTCTTCTAATGGTATAGAGTATAATTTCATCCGATGTTTGGCGAGTTCCGACAGTCTGCATCCGAATCGAGATAACGTTCGCAAAAAAAACTCTTGATAATGGCTTTTGCGAACGAGAAATCACCATCCAAATCGCCATCATGTGATAACCGCCATTTTGATAGACCAGGGCCCATATACGAACGCGGCTTAACCAATGACGTATTATTAGGAACTTTCTAAACGAGGAGATGTCTCCTTTACCTATAGCTACCCACACTTGCGCAAACTTCTGCAACAAAGACTGCTTATCATTTTCCTCTTGTAAAACAGGTTTAAGTCTCTCCAATAAACTTTCGTCTGCAAGACATAGTCGATTGCCTCGGATTGCTTCGTCGAGGCCTGTTCAGAGCATGCTTCAACCAAGCAATAAATGGTACCCAAAGACAGTAATTTATCTCCTTTCACCACTAACAACTTATTGGTGGCAGATGAGTAACATAATTCACGTACGTATTATTAATAAGAATAAAGGGGACAATCCGTTCTGTAAACCAATGTTTGATTGATTGACATTAGAGAGGTCAGACTGTATTTCGATTGTACAGTGTGTTACGAAAAAAATGGCCCTCAGAAAATCGAAAGTATTTTGCACAATAAACAAGAAACGCGTTATTTATTATGGTCCACATATTTTTATCAGCTTGTTTATGTCTCGTTGAAGATATTTACCAAAGAAAAGGTTTTGTTGACTTCTGCTTTAATTTTTGAGAACTTTATAAACTATGTTACACAAGTATGAAGGTTGAAATTCACAACGTTTTACTTTACTTTCAGATTATACCCCAACAACGTTTATTCGTCAAATAAAATTACATCCAAAAATGAGTGTTTATCTTTGTTCCATTGTAAACAATCTCAAAAAGCCAAAAGACACGAACGTTTTAGAGCATGACAGGAAAACTTCTGTTTGATCAAAAGTTTTATATGTAACATACCAAAGAATAAACCGTGGGAGAAACAAAGATTATCTTGTAATAAACCGACTGTTTTATGTAAAAATGTTACAAATTTAACGGATGACTACTATGTAAAGCATTTACAGTGAAATTTGCATCTGCATTATTAATTGGAAATAGGAGGATATTTCTCAGAAAATTTCGGAAAAATAGATAATAAAATTTTGTGTGCAACGAAAAACTGATACAAGCAAGTATAACGAGGAAATGATGATGAGATTAAGTATTAAAATTTTTTGTATCAAGTATCTAACACGCTATCTAACAAGACTGTTTGCTTTTAATTATCTTGTGTCATTGCTAAATTATGCGATTTTTTGTAAGGGCCATTTTTTTGGTAACACACTGTATTCATACAACTTCATATTATTTTTCAATAAATACAACCAAATCGATGCAAAAATTACATAGTAATAGTACATACAGACAATAGAGATGATTGAAAAAAGGATTTTTCATATGGTTTACTAATTGATCAGTAAAAATTCCCAATACCAATACCTTTGCCCAGTGTACATAAGATGAAGACAACGATTCTAATCTAAGATTTAGTAATGTGAGCGTATATTTTATCCACTTGTTTCTTTTCGGAATCGCATACACACCATGACCTTTTGTAATAATAGCCTTATATGCAAGCTTTCTGATTTGGTCCCGAACCGTCGACATGCACTTAGGGAGGTCCCATTGTACTTGGGGCAGTAGTAATAAATTCTCGGTGTATTTAGTTTTTAGCATAGGGAACAAACTTGTGATACGCAGACATGTGATCAGCGGAAATTTTATCAGGGGCGGTCAAAGATTGTCAAGTGTGACACAATATTCACAACATCGACAACTCTGACAGAAATTAGCAAGAAAGATGATATATAATATGTACATATTTGACCGCCATTGCGTATGTATATTCTATATTGATTGGCATCGGAATCGTAAATCCAACACCTCCACAACCGTTACCAATTCTGGGTCAGGCAATGCGAGTATGATTGACGAAAATATCTCTTCGACATCACCCCCGCCATCTATATCACATCTAATGAGCCACCATTCGACTACATCACAACTGACTAATACCAGTATGCTGTCGGATAGTAGATTGGTGAATATTGACGAGGAGGCCAAACTGGTATACGGAGTCGTTTTCAGTTTGAGGAATTTTGTCAGAAAGTTGAGTGGAAGGTGAGTATCGAGGGGGGGAAGGAGCACGTTATGTTAGGGAGGGGGTGTGTGTAGCATAAGCTTGATTTTTGACTCGCTTAAAGTATGTGAGCATTCGCATTCAAATTTTAACGCTGCTATCGGTATATAGACTACTCTGGTTGCAAGGTGCTGATTCGTCTTACAGCCCCGATCATTAAACTAACATCGATTCTTAACTTGCTTGGTTTTAGTCAAGATGGGTTCATCTCCTATCGCACCTCGCAATATAAACTTCATTACTACGAAACTCCAACTGGGCTAAAATTCATCATTAATACCGATCCGAACGTTGAATCACTAAGGCCAGCACTGAGACAAATCTATGTGAATTTCTATGTCGAGTATGTTGTTAAGAATCCCCTTTCGCCTGTTGAACATCCGGGTGGAGATGGGGTGAACAATGAATATTTCCGTGCTGCTGTGGATAAGTTTATCAAAAGCTTAGCAGTATTTGATTCATAGTCTGGATGGTGAACACTTATAATAGAATCTTCATGAAGTGAAGGTGCAGCGCTCTGTACAATTGGAAAAAGAATCGTTATGAACTAAGCGGCGGTGTTGTACGGGTCTTGTGTGGAGATTGAAAAGTAATTGCTGTTTCGTATTTCTCTAGATATTTATTAAAAGTATTTCAGCCTTTGGTAACATTGTTATCGCCTGTAGAAATACGCCAAGCATCCCGATACAAACCGTATAAGATGTATTGCTGTGTTCATTAGACACAAAGCAGTTTCTTGAATATTAATAAATTAAGTTCCAAAGATCAAGCAAATAGTTGGTTTAGGAAATAGATATTACCTAATAAGGAAGGGAAGTATCTCTTAAGTGATGTTCTTATTATGGTAAAAGACAAATAATAATGCGTGTATTCAAAAAAGTAAATTTTTTGTAATGGTTTTATATAAATCTTCGCTGCAATTAGAATTACATTCCAAACAGGATTATGGGTTACCTTGAGACTTATTTTGCATATTAAATACTGAGCAGTAATAACGCAAGCCTATCGATCAAAGTCTAGACGAACATTCTCGATAACCAGATTTCTTCACGCGCACCCGTTGCACTTTAACTCGCTACACTGCCCTCAGATACAGAGAAGTTCATGCAATTGTATCAATTATCGCTATCTCCCGATGTAGGGATTGGCTAAAAACATCTAGTTATGCATATATTTACTATTTCTAATGAGAGAGAACTGCTCTCAAATATATTAAATCGCTTCTTAATAATGCTTTATTATCCTCTTGCCGAGATACACAAGTTCGTTGCCTAGTAACGTCTACGATACCCAGAGGTTCTCCGCGATAGTTTAAGTAAGTAAGCTAATTACTTCTTCGATACCAGTGTATGGCGAAATACTATTAAATAAACCTTATACATTTGTTAGCTTCGCGTCATAACACATTTTATCCATACACTACACACCGGAACATAGAACCATAATACATGTATGTCATAAAAAACTTGTTAAATGCTTGCCACGAAAAAATAGCTCAGTCATATAAAGATATTTGCTTCAAACAGACTTTTTGCTCGCTGAAGAAATATTAATACAACTTTTTCGGAAATAAGCTAAACTAATTGCTTGTCTTATTCCTACTAAGCAATTAATATATTTCCGTCATCGCGGCGATTTATTCCAGGTCGCGTAATATTTAGCAAGGTTATGAGAGCAGGGTTGAGAACAGTTTTGTGTTTTGATTTTTCATTAGGAGTTCCAACACCAAGAACTTGGTTAATTTCTCTCGACAGCGGTTGCCTATTAACTAATATTCTTGTAAGTACAAATTGTGTGATAAAGAATTCAAGCTCCAGTACTGATAATTAGCAGTATCCGTGGCACTACAAATAATAAATGTTCATGACTATTAATATGATAATATATAAATACTTCGGTAAAATTAAATATAAGCTTGGCGTTGGAATCCTTAGGATGAAATAATAATAAATTCTCTAATTTACGGCTTGACTTAAAATTATAGACAATTGTAATTCTTTAAACATTACTCGAGCTTTGTTTATAAAATATATGTTGTTGGCATTGTTGTGCGTTTTTGCACCAGAAAAAAAAAGCTGCTTTTCGAACAAACATTCCACGAAATAAAGAATACCGTTATAAGTATACGCGCATTTTCATTTTAATAAATAAATAAAATTGACAAAAGGTATACATCTGACTCCAATATTTGTTGCAATACCGTACTTACGTAATATACCCTTAAAGCAGCGCAAGCAATTATGTTTGGCGGATGTACAATAAACCCATATAAATATCTAAATTTACCGTATTGTTACTAATAAACAGTCGCGATTTGCGAGTTCATTTAAAGTAATTCACATTATTACTACATGGTTTGCCAATCAACAAAAACATGCAGCGTGAATAAGTTATTGATTTAGGCCCTGATAAAATTTGTTTCGAATTGAAACAATTACTACAATAATAGGTTAGTATTACACATTTAGGCTTGCACTAAACTGTTGTTAATATTTATTCAAGTATTAAACCGCGTTAAAAAACATTCGTAAAGATAGATTAATCTCAATACTTTAGTTCGACTCTTACAAGTGGCTCTACTTTTTTTTTGATATTAAAATTTAAAATAATCAAACGCCAAATTGTCAACGTTAATGCAATTTTGTTATTGACAGTAACAGTGAAAATTTATATCACCTCCGTTATTTACAAATGATAAAATCCGTTAATGCGTCCTTGTTTCTATTGAATTTGCATCTTTTTTGAAATTAATTGATATTCATTTCAGCCTGCTATTATACTAAACCATATGTATTACAGTCAACTCCTATAATATATTTGTATAAAATAGTTGGGGTTTTTTTGAAACAAGTTGCTTTTCTCTAAAAGTGAATTATACCAGCTCCTCCGTATATAATCACATCATCATGTAATAGTAAACTGTTATCAAATTTTCATAAACAGGACATGGTAATGACGCTTTATGGCGAGACTGTACCAAGGGTTGCTAAAGAAATTCGAGATCTCGTTGTCCAACATCATAACAGAGCAACAGTAAGATTGATTCATAATACTCATAGTGTTGTTATCTCCACCTTATGTAATAGCCTAATCTGATGCAAATAACGATTTTTAAATGGAATTACATCGTAAATAGGTCCGATAATACGAGTCATTTTCTATCCGGGAATTCAACAATTCTTGTATTGTATACACTCCCCTGAAATAAATAACGTACCCCCTTTTACTTACATTTTGTATAACAGTCTACATGATAATTGTTTCCAAAATTTATATATATTATAGCTTAGATTTTCGGTGTAAAGTATGTTTCATGTCCGTTAATTTTCAAGCTGTAAAAAGAAGTTAAAACTTTGCCAGAATTGCCAAGTCAATTGCCTGACTTGAATCTGATCGAACGTTCACGGTCAAAATGCCAGCTTCAAAGGCGTTCAAAAATCCACAAAACAAAAAACAAAAATAAAAGCTGTTTTACTTATTCTGAATGGACCAATTTCCAAAAATTGCATATATGGATTTAGTTGAAGGATGTATCACCAATAACGGATGGCCAACCAAATATTTGATTATTTCATAATAGTTTACCAAGGAATTGCTATATTTTAGAATAATTATTACATAGTAGCATCTAGCATTCTCTCAACCTGACTGTGAATGGTAGTAATCAAGATCATTCTGTGCAGCAGCCTAAACTTGTTCAGCTGTTTTTTTTATATAATTTAATTGCCTTCTTAGCATTTTTCTCTACTCCAATTCCATTTTGATAACAATAACCAAGATTATATTGTGCAAATTGTTTTATTTGTATGCAAAATAAAGCTGTAGGGGCCTTTTAAGTTGTTCGAGAAGGAGTACAAATTATGCAAAAACTTGTGAGTATGTTAGGTATGTGGACATTGAGAGTTGGTGAGAAGGATAGAGTGTAGATCAGGTGCGGTTGAAGTTATTAACGTGTGAAGCTCTCTATTATAGTGACTGAACTAAATTGATAACTATTACTTCTTTCATCCAATGTTGATTAGAATTTCTGCTACCAGTTATTTCTTATGCAGAATCTCGTGCATTTTTCTTACTGTACAGATACTAATCTTAAATTTACTTGGCAAATAAGAATTTGATGTTAGCATTATATGGCAACTCAGCATGCACACAGTGACCATAAAAATAGTATCTATTAAACCGTTCAGATTTTAAAATAGAACATAGAAACTGCTTTATGGTCAATCAATACCTATAAAATTGAAGGAATTTACGATTGCAATTTAACAGTTGTTCAATATAGTGTAAGAATCTTGATCTGACCGTTTATGCATAAAAGGCTACACAAAATGTTACACTCATCTGATCGATTAATTAGAGAGCAATGCGAAACACATGGCAATCCCCCGATATGGCCGCAACAATTGATCTGTCTTCGGATCTTTCATTTGATTACGAGAAGCTTTATGAAAGTAACAAATATACAGATGTTTCTATCAACGTTGGCAGTGAGCCAAACAACAAGATCTTTCTTGCTCATGCAGTAGTGTTGTGTACAAGAAGCACATATTTTGAGAAGATGATAGTTGAAAATACAGAAGAGTTCCAACAGACAATTATGGTATTTGAAGATGTAACGTCTGAAGTCTTTGAAATTTTGCTCAGGTGATTGTTTTTTTAACTAAAAATTTGTTAGTTGCTTGCCCAACTGATTTGCATAAATTTACTGTGCTTATAGATTTATTTACACAGGAAAATTGAGTTACAGTTCAAGTGAAGTTATAGATTGGATCGGCCTTTTGAATGTCTCTTGCAGATTCGAATTAAATAACTTTGTTATTGCAGTTGAAGACTATTTGATTAATCACCAAAAGGAATGGATGAAACACAACATTCTTGCAATCTACAAATGTGCTTTATCCTCAAGTTTATTAAAAAAGCTTTTGGATTATTGCAACAACATTATGATATCATCACCAGAGCTTATTTTTAACTCCGATAATTTAATGAGTCTACCAAAAGAGACCTTGATTACCCTTCTCAAGCATGATGAGCTTAATATGGAAGAAATTGATATTTGGATATCAGTAATACAATGGGCTACTAAACAAGTTCCAGGACTTGTAAATGAACCAAATGGTTGGTCGTTTGAAGATTTTGTCAAAGTCAGGACAACTATATCTGATTGTATTCCTCATATAAGATTGTTCAATATTTCATCTGAAGATTTTCAAGAGAAAATTGTTCCTTATGATGAGTTATTAACAAAGGATTTGCGTCATGATATAATGTTTTATCATTTTAAAAAAGACTACAAACCAAAATTTACAGTTTTACCACCAAGGAGAAGTCAGGCAATGCATAATAATTTACTCGGCATAAATATCACCGATATTAATGCAGGCATAGACTCAGTAATTATCAATGAACAACAAGCAGCATGGATCTCATGGAAAATTATGGAGTCAAACAGGTCAATTAAAAA